AATAAGGAAAACACTACACAAATCATTGCAATAAATGAATTTTTAAAAAATTATCATAAAAACAAAATTCTAACATTTTTTTCAAAGATCCATATCCTAACCTTTACTTTTGATCCAATTCCTATCTTCTTAGATCTTGTGTCATTTTTTTTAACCTAGCCAGCCTTTAGATTCATGATCCCTTCTAATCATTTATATGATCCTACAAACAGAAAATTTAATAATCCAAAAGTTATATTCATTCTACTCTCAGGAACTTAGACTATTTTGTATATTTGCATAGTTTTAATATTGTTTTTCTGAAATTTTTTTCAGATCATTCTAGGGATATGACACAAATTACAATACAGATTGGGCTAAAATTACTATTAAAATTACAGTATTTCTAAATAAATCAAAAATTTCTTAGAGAATACTGCCATGAAATGAATAAAAATGTGAAGCATGAATATATATATATATATATATATATATATATATAAAAAACAGCAAAATGCAATGCATAAATAAAATAGTAAGACAATATTGTTTCCTGATCCCAGAGTGTCAAAAAAGGAAACCACTCCACTTAAGTAAAGCAGCCTAAGCAGCCTATGCACAATGGCTGATGATTTGTCTTTCATGTTTATAGAGTTTATTAAGTAGCTAAGCAAAATTCTTGTGACTATTGCTATTTGCATTGGTTCACCCTTTTTCGTTTGTCTCACCATTTTTTTGTTCCCCTTCCCTTCCCTAATTCAGATAAACATATATCTAATACCCAGGGTACCAAAATCAAATACAGTGACAACAGGGGATAAACCATAGGGAAAAAAAAAACACAAAAGAAATCACATAGGACATTAAAACAACAATAACAAAGAAAAACCTCTTGTTTCCAAGTCTTGGATTTAATTTTGCTTGTTAGCTTCATCTTATATGGTCATATGTACACAGCTATTGAACTATTCTGCTTATCTGCTTGGACTATCTTAGACATATACTAATTATTACAAATGAGGAAAACCATGGGATCTGTTTCTTTAGGTCTGGCTTACTTCACTTAATATAATTTTTTCCAAGTCTTTCCATTTCCTTATGAATGGGGGGAGATATCATTCTTTCTGATGGAAGCATAGAATTTAATTGTGTATATATACCACTGTTTCTTGATCCATGCATCTATTGAGGGGCATCTGGGTTGGTTCCATATCTTAGCTATGGTGAATAATACTGCAATAAATGTGGTTATGCTGGTAACTTTAGTATGGCCTTGTTTGTGGTCATTTTGGTAAATGCCCAGAAATGGGATTGCTGGGTTATAGGGAAACTCTATGTTTAGGGCTAGTGCTCTCCCATTTAAGCCATGCCTCCATCCCAGTATTTTGCTGATTGACTGGAGATGAATTTGGGGGATTTTTCTGCCTAGAGTAGCTTAGACCTTGATCCTCTGATCATGTGAGACACTAGTACCTGGCTTATTTCTATACTTCTAAAGCTAAGATTTGGGAAGAAATTACGTGGCCTTTTAAAAATGTAAATATTTTTCATTAACTATTAATGTTGAGGTTCCTTTTTATTTGTGCTGTTTAATTTCTTTATTCATCCACTCACTCAACAAATAATCTGACATGCCTGCAATGTCCTGGGAGGTACTAAGGAGATAGCATTGCTTTGCTGGAGCCTGTCCCAGTGAATACATTATCATTCAGTACATTTCTAAACTGGGTATCTGGTGAAAATCCATTAAGGCAAGTGAAAAGATGTTTCTGGACAAGATCTGTCTTTTTCTAGCTGCAATAATCACAGCCATTATTGCCATGGTAAAACAGAAAACAGTTGAAATTCAGGGAACAGAAATGTAGGATACTGAGGCATATTTCCTGTACTGCCAACCTCTTGGCTTCTTGGCTAACACAGGTGTTAACCAAAACAAGACCAATTGACAAGTTCATCCTCTGCTGCAAAAGTATTGCTCTCCAAATGACAACGTGATTATTTTCCTTCTCTTACAATATTGAAAAGTTGATCAAAATACTCTATTAGTATTTTCCAGCTAAATCTTTTAAGAAAAGAGAATTCTCTAACATGGAATTCTTGACAAGGGCTTTTTTTTTCACTTTTAAATGTCCACTCGAATGAAATTTGATAGTAATAGAACACTTCAACCTATGCACACTGTTGGCAGAAATATTTTTTTTATCCATTGTACTTATAATATCAGAGCAATAGGCAAATGCTGAAGACCTAAAGTAATATAACAATGATAAACAAACAGAAAACCTAGACCAAACTGGAAAATAGGTAAAGGAGTCTCCAGGACAATATCAATTTAAATATTCTAGGAACAAGACATATATAGATAAATGTATTATTTTATTGATATATAATATTATAGAATACATAATATATTATAATATTACATATAAAATATGATGTAATATAAAATATATGTAATATATATTATATACACTATATCATAACATATAAACACATATAAAACCCTGTCATAGCCCAAATAACAGAAGTCTGTAAAGGAAACTAAATATTATGTTTAACTAAAAGTTCACAATTCTAGATTAACAAGAATAAGTAAATCAATAAAATGCCTCCTAAGTATGTGACTAGTCCTAAGCAAGTATAAAGTAGGAATTTATCAACACCCCCCACTTCCAAATGCCCTTGAAAACAGTAAATCCTTATAACTTCCCTCTCAAATAAATTTCAGTTTCTAATAAATCTCAAAGTGTCAGGAATTTTTATATTTATACCTAAATCCTCCCCATAGTAGCTTAATGTTTATCACAACTCACAGCAACAAAAAAATTCTCAGTAACATAATTTCTAAATTTCTGAGCAGTAATTTCTAAACTTCCCTTTTTTGTAATACTGTAGCCCAAACCTACAGGCCCAAATTAACCCAGAAAGGATAGTACAACTCACACCTACAAAACTAGTAGCACTCACTAATAAAAACCTCTTGTTCCTAGGCTTAGGATAACCAAACACATGTTACTTCACGTGACATTAAATCAAACTAAAAATATCAGTTTGAGAATGGCATTAATTTGAACAAATAGGAAGCTTCTCCATTTCAGGTGCATATAAACTAGCCTTGTTCTAGCCCATAAGTTTCTAAGATTGTAAAAGGAAACAAACTTAAATATTAAAAAAAAAACCTATAAACATTGATACTTCAGAAATATCTAAACTGAGGGCTAAAACTGAGGGCTGGGAATGTGGCTTAGTGGTAGAGTGCTTGCCAAGAATTCATGAAGCCTTGGATTCAATTCTTCAGTACTACATAAACAGAAGAAGTTGGAAGTGGCACTGTGGCTCAAGTGGTAGAGTGGTAGCCTTGAAAAAAAGAAGCTCAAGGACAAAATAAGATACAAACAAGATTTCTATGCCCAGGCCCTGAGTTTAAGCCCCAGGACTGGCAGAAAGAAAAAAGAAAGAAATTCTAAACTTAAACATCAACATAAGCAAAGTGCACCATAGTAAAAAAAAAAAAAAATGCATAATTAAGTAGGGAATAACATGATAAATACTGCAGATAATATTTTTTTACCATTTTTTTCTCTGTGCAACACTTGCTTCATTTTTCAAGATGCAAATTAAATAATATTATCTTAAAAAACAGCCATGAGGACTTCAACAGAAGGAATTGGCACTTCTCTTCCCTAATATATTTATTTTATTCTAATGTATGTTTACAAGTCTTTTAACTAGGCAGTCTTTGTTTGATATTAGATTAAGTTCCTCACTTTTGTATCCACCAAAAAATACCTTACATGATAACTTGCTTTATTCACAAATTGACTGCATGTGGTTTTGACCAAACAAGGTCAAAAAAACAATCATTTTAAAAAATCAAGAGAAATTTCAAAAATAATTTTAACTGCTCAGGATACAGAGAAACACCCAGTCACAGATTCTTCTAAACTTACTGAGATCCTGGTGTGGTCTGCTGAGTGTTTCTCTGCCTTAATTTTCTGAAAATATGCCTCAAAAAGAAGAGAGGACAGGGTGGGTGATCAAAGGGAGGGAGAAGAAGGAAAATAAAATCTAGGGTCAAAGGACAAAGACATTTATCTAATGTTTGTCTTTGCTGTTTTCTATGTTGATAAACAGGCTTATAATTATTATAGCTAATATTCTCAATTCCAAAAGAGAAGTTTAAACACTTATACATAAGAAACATGTTATTAAAGCTTATAGAGACCTCAAAAATCTAAAATGTAAAGTAGATTCAATACCCACTCCCAAAATAAAAGGGATAATCACTTCAGAATGGTAAGAAAGAAACAATTCTTAAGTGGTACATGTGGGGAGAATAATAATTACTAATTTAACTATTAAAAGAAAAAACAAAACTTACTCTAAAACAGACTATCATACATTCATGTTTAAGGGACAGTATACTGGGCTTCTTGTGGTTCTTAATAAAGCTCACCAATAAAACAATAACTAAATCAAACAAAATAAGATACAAACAAGATTTCTATGCACAACTTTTCTCTTCTTCACATTATGAAGTGTGCTAACTTTAACACAATGAAAAGCGCTTTAAAGTTAGATATTTTCCCAACTCCCCACCATTGTTTCCACTAGTGTGCTTATAATCTTTAATATCGTACATATTTATTTCATTTATTTCTACCACTTAAACAATGTAATGCAAGTTAAATAAATGTAGTTTTTTTCTCATCTATTCACTGATAAATTCAATAATAGAGAAATCTCTCACACAAAACAGGCATCCAAATGTTTATTTGTTGAATGAATTCATAGATATTTTACAATAGAGAAGTGGAATGTTTGACCAAAGAAAAACCCTCAAACCCAAAAGTACCCCCCTTCTATCCCAGGAATGAAGAAAAATGGGAGAACAAGAGACAAGAAAAGGAAATGGAATTGGTAAAAGGCCAAAGGGGAGGAAAATATCAAGGGTCTTTTTTCAATCCTAGAATTCTATGAATATAAATAAAGTAGAGTAAGAGTAAGAGCAGTTAACTTACCTCTCTTCTCCTGGTGTATTTCTTCCAGAAGCTGCTCCTGCCTTTCTATCTGTTCAAAGAGACACTGGAGCTCAGATTCCTTGTTTTCCGTCAGATCTCTGAGTTGCTGTCTGCAGAGCATCAGCTGGTGTCGCAGGTTTTTCTCTCTGTTTTCTCTCTCTTTCAGTTCCTCACAGAGCCATTGAAGTTTAGTCTGAAAATATATCATGTACATTTAATTTTTTAAAATCTAGAAGACAATAACATTTCAAATACATGACCAAAAAAACAAAGTTAAGATGATTTGGAGAATTATAGTTAATTGCAATCAAATTTAGGCAAGGAGTTTGAACATCAACATTTTAATCTGCATACAAAAGGTGGTTCAGAAATTAAGCCATAATGCCTCTAGATTTTTATCAAACACTTGAGAAACCCATCATCTTTAGAAATGCAACACCATAGCAGAGTTTGGCCTATTAAATTTCCAGTCATAAAACAGGTAGTCATTTATGGGCTAGGAAGGTGGCTCAGTGGTAGTGCACTTGCCATGCATGCATGAGGCCCTGGGTTCGATTCCTCAGCACCACATAAGCAAAAAAAAATAAATAAATAAATCCGGAAGTGGTGCTGTGGCTCAAGTGGTAGAATGCTAGCCTTGAGCTGAAGAGCTGAGGGACAGTGCCCAGGCCCAGAGTTCAGGCCCCACGACCAGACCCAAAAAAAAACCAAAAAAAAAAAACAGGTAGTCATTTGACTTAGTACATATGGCATCTGAAATTTTAAAAATACCCCCAGAATAGAACACTTTATTTTATTTTATTTTATTGTTGTTGGTGGTGGTGGTGGTGGTGGTCGTGGGCTGAACTCTGAGCCTGGGCGCTGTCCCTGAGCTCTTCAGCTCAAGACTAGCACTCTACCACTTGAGCCACACTGCCACTTCCACTTTTTCTGCTTATGTGGTGCTAAGGAATCGAACCCAGGGCCTCATGCATGCAAGGCAAGCACTCTACCACTGAGCCACCTTCCCAGCCCCATTTCAGATATTTTATAAGATGATAAAATTGCTAGTTATGATGACAAATCCTCATATGTTGAAAACTCAGGGAGAAGGAGAGTACCTCTAAGTTGGAGGGAAAAAGTCAACATCTGCCCTCAATGAAGCGACTATAAGAATGTATTTAATAAAGTCAATTCTTTTTATAGACTAGCTTTCACCTATCATTATGTTTAGATATTTTAAGCAGGACTGTGAAAGACATATTTCTTCCACTTTCAATACAAAAAGATTCAGTCATGTCTCATTGCCTTCCCAAATATAGCTCCCTATCCTCTAGCCTCCAGGATATTTTAAGTAAATAAGAAATAAAATGAGTAAAGTACCTGTTACAAGGGATAACTAAATGAACTCTGACTTGCTTCTAGTGTACAGTGGTGTGAAATTCCTCTCTGGAAAATAATCTGGTCATTTCAAGAGGTTAAACAGAGTTACCATATACGCAGAAATTCTACTCCTTGGTTTACACTCAAAAGAAGCAAAGATATATGTCCATGCAGAAACTCAAAGTAGTATGTTTATAGAAGCATACTCACAATACGCCCCAAAGAGAAACCATCCAAACAGTCACCAAACGAGGATGATGAAAAAAATGGTGTATACCTAAACAATGGACAATTATTTGGCAATAAAAAGAAAGTAATGATATATACCACAACATGGACAAACCTTAAAACATTCTGCTCAATCAAAAATGCCATTCCCAAAAAGAAAAACCAATATACAGTATGATTTCATTTTATAAAATATACACAATAGAAAAATCTACACAAAAAGATGAAGTGTGGCCTAGAACTGTGGATAAGGCTAGAGCAAACTAGTGGGTGAGGTACAAAGGGATCCTTAGTTTATTTGGGGTAATAATAATGTTCTAAAAACCATTTTAGTGATGGCTGCACAACTCTGTACATACATTGAGACAATCATGATACTTAAAGCATATATCCATTAAGCTATTACTTAAAGAACAAAATGAAAATCTAAAGGGTTAAAAGATAAAGACAAAAAAAGGCTAGGAAAATAAAGCCATAATAAAATATCCCAGAATGGACTGCAATCTGGCTTTAGTGCAGAATTTGGAATCCATTAGCCATATGACACTAGATAAAAACAAAGTCCTCCAACTTCAAGTGAGCTGTGGGGTCCAATTGGAACTCAAGAAATTTAACAAATTCTGTTTGGTTTTCAATATTTCCTTTCTAGTATCCATACAAATACAATCATACAAATACAAAACAAAAGTTTTCAAAAATGCTAGGTTCGGTAGCACTGGCCTATAATCCTACATATTCAGGAGGGAAAACCAAGACTTCAGTTTGGAAGCCAGTCAAGCAAATGGCCCTGTCTCAAAATCAAATGGGAGTGGTGGCTCCAATTGTAGAATACTTTCACTGCAAAACTGAGGCCTGAGATCAATCCTCAGTATTGCCAAAACAGAACTTCCATTGAGCAAAGAAAAATTGGTCAACTTCTTGCCAGGTAAAAGGAGTAGCTTGCGTCACAATCTCCCATTGAAGCACTAAGAATCCAGGTTGGGGTGAAGATATCGTGCTATATCATTATCCTCTATTTCTTTTGAACTTAGTCCATATAGACAGACACAGAATGCAAATGAAAAGAGTTACAAATAGACAAAATATATACATTTCCCATTTCACTGACGGTTCCTCACAACCTGTGGGTAACACAAAGTGCCAGCTATAAGCATTTGCGGCTGAAATGGGTAGCTTAAGTGGTGGAGTCACTGCCCAGTAAACATGAGGCTTTCAATTCAAGCCACAGTCCTGGGATGGAAGAAAAGGTGGGGAGGAATGGAAGGACAGTAGGAGGAAATTAATTGAATTTTTAAATACCAGGTAGTAAAAATGGATTCCTGAGGTTACTAACATCAATTCGCCATTTGAAATTGCTTATCCCCAGAGATTAAACTGCAAAGACAGAAAACAACTTCATATTTTCCTTTTCTCAATGCTTTTTTACTTATGCCATCCTGATCTTTGGCTTTGATTCATTTCCTATGATTATTATTACTAAATAACAAATTTATACATTGGATTCTGATACGAGAAAATGAAAGGATAGTCCAAAATTATCCTGAAATAACACACACGCACACACACATACATATATATATATATATATATATATATATATATGTGTATGTGTGTGTGCGTGTGTGTTGACACAAGTTATGGATTGAATTGTACTATCTCCCTTCAGTGTATATTTATACACTGAATTATATTGTCTATATATTCTGCCCCAAGTGTGAGTTGTATAAAGGTAAGGCCTTTAAGACAATGATGAAGCTTACACAAATCATAAAGGTAAGACCTTACTCTCACAGGTCTGTTGTCCTCAGAACTCCCTTTCTCTTAGGAACACAAAATGTGGCCCTCTGTATGACAGAAAGAGAGATCTTACCAGAAACCAAAACTGGCACCTTCAACTTAAGACATACAGTTTCCCCATCTGTGAGAGAATAAATGTTTAGGCCACTAAAAGTATGGCATATTATATCAACCCCAAAATACTAATAAATAATGACCTACAGCTTTAATTTACTCCTATGAAGCCTTTATTCTATTGTCAAACAAAATATAAAATAACTTATAGTTAGATGCTTGTTTTGAAGTGAACATGTAGAATATATTATTCATCCAAAAAATATCAATTTATGGAAATGTAATCAACTGATAATCAATTATGGGAACCAGTGTTTATTAGATACTCAGAATTGTCATTAAGTATCTTGGAGAAGCAGTCTAAAACACAGTACAGGAATAACTTTAACAATTTCATATAATAATTAGCACAAAATCTTCTATTAACTACTCACTGAACCATTTTACAGATTACAAAATAGGCTCATTTATTTAACAATATCAACAAGGATCATTAAATAAACCAAAATAGAGAACTTAAAAATAATGTAGGTTTTACCTAAATTCTTGCCACCATATAATTAGGAGGTAATATTCAAAAGAAGCTAGTAAAACTACCACAGTAATCTTTTTTAATTTCTGAGAGTCCTCTACTGAGATTTAGTATAATAATAAAGTCACTGAGAAATAACTTAAAGCTGAAAACCAAGGAAAACAGAACATTTGAATGAAAAGATTACAGCTTACAGAGATAATAATAAGGACCACTCATTTTGCTACTTTAACTACTATGCTTCTTTCATCAAAACTCTAAAAATAATTTTGAAAAAGTTGCTTATATAAGAACCAGAGAAAAAAAGAAAGAATGGTGACCTTTTAAAATGTGCTCGGCCACCAAAATAAGGACTAAAACAGAACTGCAAAATTCAAAGCCACATCAACTTAAAAACAAAATTGGAAGCTTGGTGCTCTAATTCTGTGGCTTCAGCCTGTAATCCTAGCTACTTGGGAGACACAGATTTCTGGAATCATGGTTTGAGGCCAGTCCAGACCAAAAAAAAAAAAGGTTCATAAGATCCCTTCTCAGTGAAGAATTGAACTCAGTATTGTGTTACCATAGCTACTGGGAAGCCTAACAAAGGTGGATGGGGCCAGGACAGAAAGAGAAACCCTGTATCAAAAGTAACCAGCAAAGACCAGGGCTTAAAGTAAGTGTGCCTGTCTAGCAAATACCAGGTCATGAGCTCGAACTCTGGTATCAGAAAAGAAAGAGCAAGAAAGCAAGAGGGGAAGGGAGGGGAGGGAAGGGAAAGGGAAAGGAAAAGGGAAAGGGGAGGCACGAGGAAGGAGGAAAGGAAGGAAAAGGGAAAGGAAAGGGAAGAGGAAGGGAAAGAAGGGGAAAGGAAGGGGAAGGAGAAATAACAATAACAGTAGTAGTAGTAGTAGTAGTAGTAGTAGTAGTAGTAGTAGTAGTAGTAGCAGTAGTAGATACAAACATTTTGGAGGTGATATTGGAATTTGAACTCATACTGGTGTTTGCTTATTTGGCACTGTACCAGTTAAGCCATGCCTCCAGTCCAGCTAAATGATGGTTATTTTGGAGATGGAGTTTTGTGTGCCTTTCTACCCAGGCTGGCTTCAAATCATAATCCTTTGGATATCACCTTTCTTGAGTAGCTATGAGTGAGCTTTAGGCACTTGTAAGAATTATACATTTGAAATATTTTTCCACATTTTACTTACTTATCAATAAGTTAAAACATATCAAAAACA